CGACTGGGCGCCCACACAACTCACTGTTCACACTCTGGATCACCCTGGATGTCCCACACGCAACACTCAGTATTATACTTCACACACCACACATGCTAGGCTACAGCTATGGCAGCGCTAGCTGCCACTACCTATCGCTGCACTCTACTCCTCTGCCCACTTCGTCTTCGGGCACTCTGCAGACCTCCTCGCACAAGCTGCTAGGCAGCGCTTCCGCATGGCATCCGCAGGAATGAATCCATGAATGGACGCAGCCTCTTGATTTATACTTCGGTGCTGCATTGGTCTGCCTTGTGTCCCTGGCCCATGGTGCACACAGTTCCCCCGTTGGTACTTGCTGGACCGGACTGGTACCTTCTGGACTTTCTCCAACATGGGCTTGCTTTAGTCACACCACTTGCCCACTTGCCTCTGCTGACTAGGCTAGGTGGACTGCCACCACTTGACCACTTGCCTCTGCTGAACACAGGTCAACTCCGAAAGGCCACTTCTAGAAGCCTCGAACTTGGCCTTTCGGTACTGTAGCAGCTACGACTTTGCCCCTTCAGGTAAGTAGCAGCCACGACCTTGACTCTTCAGGCATCCTACAGCTACGACTTCGGAACTGTCTAGACTCCTATTCTACAGGTCTACAGTTCGATTCCTTTCTACCCTGTGACCTACAAAACCCTGCCTACCACTGGCGGTCCTACAGGTCGCGGGTTCAAATCTATGGGTTGACATCCATACTGTACACAGGTAAGTTGGGGAACTAGGGATCGAGCCCTGGGATCTGTCTCAACTACCACGAATTGGTGAATACCGTTTCAGAGGGGTTTTCTGGGGTGTTAGTGACCGCCGTGGGAGACTCATCTGGGTTAGGACTCAGGAGACCTAATCTCGGGGGTGGCATTGGCAGCCTAACAACTGAACAACGTTACAACCAACAACAAGAGTAATACCAGTGGTGCCATACAACGAGGCTATAACAATCGAACAACCTTGACAACAACAATGGACAAAAGTGATGTGCTAGGGGTTGTACTTGGGTTGCTCAGGGGGTTGCCATGGGTTAGACCTTGGGTTGGCCATCAGACACTGCCGATGGGGGCGTGAGGAACAAAGAGTCTGATTACGTAGGGTGAGTGTTACATGCTGCGCCTGCAACAGGCTGCACGGGCCATTTTCTGGCCCGTGTTGTTTTCAGCCTGAAAGCCTGAAAACAAGGGGCTACAGGCCCTGTGTTGTTTTCAGCCTGAAAGCCTGAAAACAAGGGCCTACAGGCCCTGTGCCGTTTCAGCCTAAATCAGGGCCCCTTTCTGGCCCTGAGTCTTTTCAGCCTGAAACTGAGGGCCATTTTCAGGCCCTCATAAGATCGACCTGCCCTGAAACGTAGGCACCAGACCAGGGTTTTAGCT